AGTTGTTCGTTTGAAGGTTTCCATGTGCGCACTAGAAATACCCTCGCTGAACAACCTTGCAATTGATTGTACGTGTTAGTACTCAATCATCGCTTTATGTTGGCGCCAACGTGTTCCTTTTCTGCTTGATGTCTGGACGTGACGAGGTGAACCGCCTTAGTCGTCAGTCCCTCTCATAGTGTTGATTAGACCAGGATTCTTGAATCGGTTTATTCAAATTCTTGCTGTCATGCGAGGCTGTTTCTTAACTGTGTGGGTGTTGAATTTTGCTTCTTCAGCCCATTCGTCTGGTTGACGATTGCCTAGCCTCCCTCTGATATTGTGGTCTGGATTGATTTCATCAATTCTCTTTCTCTTCGATGTTGACGACCTTCCTTGGAGGTGTAGTTGATGGATTATCTGTCTCTCTGTTGAATCGCTATCTGTTGAATCGCTGTCTGCTCGTACTTCCCCTTGTTCCTTGTACTATGAGTGGTCAGGGCCTCTTGATAGAAACGTTGGTCGGCTTGGAGGTGAGCTCATGCTGTGTGAGCTACCTCCATGGATGAGAGTGTGGTGATTTCCTTGACACTTGTGGCATGTTTTAGTTGAAGTACACTTGTTATGATGAGGTCCCAGGCAGTTGAAACAGAGGCTCTTGGCGACCACGAACTCGTTCCTCTTGACTGGCGTCAATGCGTTGAAGTTCTTACATGCTGCGATAAAGTGCTGGCCCGTACAATAGGCACAGCATATCTTGGGAAACTCCCCAGCTGGCTTCTCATCTTCTTGATGTGGAGTTGATGCTTTATCGGAGTTTTTCTTCTTGCCTTTGGTGAAGTCCTCTCTAGTTCTTGCAAGCTGACCCTTCAGTTGACCTATGCTTCTGAGGCGTTGCCTTTTTATTGAGACAGCTTGCTCATACAGACTCTCAGTGATGTACTCATCATTTAGTGTGAGGTGCTCGAGCAATTTCTCCTGAAGAGAGACGAATTCGGTCCACTCTCCTTTGACGATCTCTTTCTGGCTCTCCAACTCCTCCAGTGTGGTGTCAAAAATATTCCTTTCACACTGGTGTAGTTCTAGTTGATGTTCTGTTAAAGTATTGAGCTGGAATCTCAGCTGTCTCATCCTGAATTTTTGAAGACCTGTCAGACCTGTTGATGGTAGTGTGTCTGCCCATGAGGGTCTCTGGTTGACGTACTGGATTTGTTGAGAGAGATCATCTGTTTTGTTGACTGTCTGCTTTGGGATAGTTCCAGTGTTGATCGGAGGCTCTGTGACTTGTGTTACTGAAGTATCTGTCACCTCGGTCTCCTTTTGTTGAATATTTGGATTATTTTCTGCAATCGGAGGAGTAACTGTCTCGTTACTCTCATCCTGTTGAGTCTCTGTGTCTTTCATCGTGGTACCCGTATCCTTGTCTGACATGATGAGCCTCTGTGTTGAGTTCTGTTGAAAGTCGATTGGTTACCGACTCCTGGGGGGTTACCGACTGTTGAGATTCTGTTAATGCAGTCGATAACATCGATGAGTCCTGGCGGGGCATACATGGACTCGGCCTCCAACAAATTTCTACACATGGATGTTTTACACGGTCTTATTTCCACATTGATTTTTACACGTGATAGAATTATACGTAATTGATGGGCAAAAATTATACTTATTTATCCACAATGACTTTTACATATAGTTCTTCAACACGAACGCTTTGTACACATGTACATAACCCACACGATGTATCGCCACACAAATAGTATACACACTGAAGTATACCGCGGGCTCCTTGAACACAAGCTTCAAATACACATGATGGTTTTACACATATAAATTTTACACATGAAGATTTCGTTCATCATTAATTAACACAACGAGCTTAAATACCCACCGTTTATGCACAATGAGTAATTATACATACAAGTTTTCTAATTACACGTACCAATTAATGCACATCCAATCTAAATACAATACCATTATCCACGTAAATGGTTTACACACGACATTTTTCCACTATTTTTTCCATTCAAGAGAATTACACGAGTTGCCTCCTTGATTTACACGTTGTTTGTATACACATTCGATTATACAATTACACCGGCGACTCGTACAAATGAATAATTTACACACATAAGGTATGCACTGAGTAGATTTCCACTTATATTTATTTTCAACATAATTACACAATGTGTAATTTGATTTACACCAATCGATGATGTGTAATTAGAAATTGTTCGTGTGTAAATCCAATTTTCATGTGTGTAATTCTATTGGGTCGATGTGTAATTTTAATTCTTACCTGTGTAATTTCATTTTTTTGACGTGCAATTCCAATTCTCATCTGTGGAATTTTATCTTCTCGAAGTGTAATAATGAGCGAATGTCAAACATCGGAAGGAAGAAAACGTCATTTTTACAAGAATTAAGATTCTTATGAGATGCCCTGGGTCTCTCGTACTACACTGAAACTCAGGGAATAATTTTCCTCATGGAATAGTGATATTCCTGATGTGAGAGGTGTACGTATTTGGGTTCTGATGTAGTCCCGATAACCAATCAAGCACCAAGTCATTCCAGGGCTGCGTGAAATGATTCTTCGGAGACAAAACGCGTTCCTGGAACCTCTGGGGCACGTATTTTTCAATGCACGCTGTCACGATGATCATCTATATTTGAATCATGCACCAAGTCCTTCCTAGGCGATTTTCGATTGCTCCTCGAGGAATATTAGTGTCTTTGGAAGGTTTGGGGGTGAATTTTCTGATGCACGCGGTCACGATAACCACCGGATATTCGAATCATGTGCCAAATCGCTCCTAGGCGTTTTTTGATTGTTTCTCGAGCAATACTAGTGTCCCTGAAAGGTTTGGGGGTGAATTTTCTGATGCACGCGGTCACGATAACCACCGGATATTCGAATCATGTGCCAAGTCGCTCCTAGGCGTTTTCTGATTGTTTCTCGAGCAATACTAGTGTCCCTGGAAGGTTTGGGGCGCGTGTTTTCTAATGCACGCGGTCATGATGACCACCAGATATTTGAATCATGCACCAAGTCCCTCCTAGGTGATTTTCGTTTCTTCCTCGAGGAATATTAGTGTCCTTGGGAGGTTTGGGGCGTGAATTTCCTAATCCCCGTGCTCACGATGTCCATCGGACATTTGAATCATGCACCAAGTCCCTCCTATGCGATTTTTGCTTGTTCCGCGAGGAATACTAGTGTCCTTGAAAGGTTAGGGGCGTGTATTTTCTAATCATCGCGGTCACGATGACCACCGGTAATTTCAATCATGCGCAAAGTACCTCCTAGGCAATTTTGCTTGTTCCTCGAGGAATACTAGTATCCTTCGAAGATTTGGGTTGTGTATTTTCTAATCATCGCGGTCACGATGACCACCGGTAATTTGAATCATGCGCCAAGTCCCTCCTAGGCAATTTTGCTTGTTCCTCGAGGAATACTAGTGTCCTTGGAAGGTTTAGGGCGTGTATTTTATGATACACGCGGTCACGACGACCACTGGATATTCGAATCATGTGCCAAGTCGCTCCTCGGCGTTTTTTGATTATTCCTCGAGGAATATTAGTATTCTTGGGAGGTTTGGGGCGTGAATTTTCTGAAGAACGCGGTCACGATGACCACCGGATATTTGAATTATGCACCAAGTCCCTCCTAGGCAAGTTTTTATTCTTTCTTGAGGAATATTAGTGTTCTTAGAACGTTTTGGGGCGTGTATTTTCGAATGCACCCAGTCACGATGTCCACTGCATATATAAATCATTCACCAATTGTCTCCCAGACAATTTAGAATAATTCTCCAGTGAATTAAAGTGTTTCTGGAACCATTGGCTTTGATATCCAAATGAACATTGTCACATTGTCACGATTCTTGTATACGATTTTGAATTGATATTTCGGGACCGAATTTAATTCAATTAAAGTTTCCCTATAAACTGTAGGGCATTGATTTTTGAATTCACGTAGTGATCATGACCCCTAGATATCCAACCCTCAGTGGGGGAATAGGCAACCGTGCCTAGGCATCGACGTACAATTGACTCTTTCCAGGTCTCCACTTTTGGGGCACGAAGAGCTCGAGAGAGTAAAGTCTGGAGGACACCAAACATTTATTACTCCATGTCTGACTCCGACTTCCTTCTCTTTTTTCTCTCTCCTTACTTTTTCAATTTTTTCATCCTCGCTTTTTACGTCAAAAGTGAGAACAAATCCTTAAATTTTACTATTATTATTATTATTATTATTTTCATTTAATCAGTGGGGGAACGGGCATTGCGTATGGTAGGGAGGCGTTCTCGTTAGAGGGTTAAGAACTGTCTGTTCCTCAAACTGTTCATAATTGAATACAATTAATAGCTCCTAAAATTCTCGATTATTGCTGATATTATTATAGGCGAACAAGTCCAGTTATTGGTGCCTAAAATTTAATCTGAAGATTCACGAGTGACTCGTGAATGAAATTTGAGTTAAGCAAACCTCAATTTCTTCACGTGAGAGGTAACTATTAATAAACAGAGGATTTTCCAACTTTGTGTGTTATAAAGTATATTTTCATAGTGGGTCTTTATTTGTAGGTATTGAATTAGATCAAAGATGAATGTAATCGCGTCATCCTATCACAGAGAAAAAAAAATTACAAATGGGCACGCATTCCAATTCCTGAATCGCAGCGAGGATGGCAAAAATTTGGACATTATTCATCCGAATGTACTTTTGCGAGGTGTGAAATCAATTTGGCAATACGCTCCTCAAAGTTTGGAGGCTCCATCGACAGAAAAATACAGAGACTAGTACCAAAGTTGAACTAACCTTGAAGATTCCATTGAACCAGGTGGAAGAAATAGTTATCATTGATAATTGGACAAGGTCCAACACATTCACCGATGTCTTAAAACTTGCTCAAGTTCGTAATTTGCTACTCATTGTAGAATGTGATACAACGTGGAAAGCTCTACTAACACCCATTCATCAAGAACTCAGCACCTTTTTGTTCAACCCAGTACTCAGCGACATGAAAATTGTCATTGGAGACGAGGAGTTTCCGGCCCACAAGATCATCCTCTCTGCGAATAGCCCTGTATTGACGACTATGTTCTCTACGAATATGCGTGAAGCTAATGAAAATCGACTTGTTGCGGAGGATATTGACACTGAGGCAATGAAGCTATTTCTGACTCATTTGTACACCGGTACTTACAACACCAAGGACAATACAGAGATGATTCCCGAGGTTTTGTATGGTGCTGATAAATATGATGTGAAAACCCTGAAGAAATTGTGTGAGCTTCAATTATCAGACAGATTGTCATTAGAAAATGTGCTCAAGATTGTTGATAAAGCTGATACTTACTACGCAGGTGCTTTAAAAGACTGTTGTATTGACTTTATGGTTAAAAACAATCAAAAAATAACTACTCATGCGGATTTTGACCCGCTCTGCTTGGCAAAACCCCATTTGATGCTTCGTTTCATCAAGGATGTTTCGTCTATATCAAAATGATGTCGTCATCGATCTTTTATTTTTCTGTTCGACACGTATGAATAAATTCATCATGACCTGACATAGCTCTCTTTTTATTTTACATTTATTTGAGATACATTTTTTGTTTTCTATCATTCGGGAGGGAGAGTGGAATTAAATAGAGAATAGCATTTATCTTTAAGAACGAGGATCCCGTGCAGAATAGAGAGGAAAAATAGAAATATAACTAATGATAGCATAGAACTCCATATCTGCTAATCGCTCACATGATTCTCAATACTTCATTCACAAGAACTCTCACAATCCATTCCTATTAATTTTTGGTGTATTTTTCTCTGTAGTTTTTCATTCCATCTGTTCTCTTCTCTTCTTAAACATTAAGAAAAAAAAAACCTGGGGAAATTCGAGTGTAGAATCTGCGTACGCAAATTTTGAGTGACTACTCCTTCAGAATTGAAGAATTGGAGTGACTACTCCTCCATGGAAATTCAACATAAATTCAATAAAATCACACTGCAAGTGACCTGGGTTTTTAGTTGAATTGGATCATGAGAAAATCGTGCGCATTTAGTTTTTGACTCAGTGCTTCGTCCGTTCAATAACGAATTCATCTTGAAATGACTCATCAAGATGACTGAATGGAAAAAGCAATACTGAAAACGTGATAGTTTCATGATTACATGGAGAAAACCTGCATGAAGAATAAGAAAAATTGCATGGAGAAAAAACTTTTTCATTGCAATGAAATGTCCTTATGCCGAGAAACTCAATCTCTATCCAGAACAGCAATGTTGCCACTAGCAGCAGCACGACCAGCACCACCACGAAGCAGAGTACCACCGGCTCCTTGAGCACCACCCCGAATACGAACATGACTAGGACCACGACCACCAGCAGCCCCAAGACCATCACCAGCCCCAAGACCACCACCAATCCCAAGACCACCATGAACTCTTGCTGCACCAGGAACTTTGCGGCCTCGACCTCTACCTCGACCCTGACCGCGACCTCCACCTCGACCTCCACCTCGACCTCTACCTCGACGTCCACCTCGACCTCCACTTCGACCCCCACCTCGACCTCGGCCTTCGTGTCGAAGAAGGAGATTTCTCATCCCACGTCGAGCATTGAATAGAGCGTGTTCCATGTCTAGGACGGGGCCCAGGTAATATTCTGCAGCATCATTCCGAGGTATCCCTATGGGAATTAGAAAAATACTGATATTATCGATATGTATCAATATGTATCAAGAAGGAAGTGTGAAATGCAATGCCAAGGTGCATTCTCCCAAGCTAAAAATCAATAAAATTTGATGCTGCCATACAACTTATTCTATTCAGATATTTTGTATAAAAATTCGTCGGTTCAGATTTCCCAAATCTTAATCTATATTGAGGAATTTCTATAGAAAATGTCTCCATCGAACAAATTGGATGAAAACATGACATTCTACAGATTTCTCTTAACAATAAGAAATAGTTGTCTATTGACTATTTGCATTAAGAAACGCAGAGTAAAGCTGCGAAAGTCTTCAGTAGTATCGAACAAAAACTAATAGAATGTTCAGTAGAAATCAAGTATAATTCCTGAAACTTTACCGTGCTCAGGCCGAAAAGGCTGGGATGCAGCTAGATCAATTCTCCAGTCAGACTCTCTCAATTGTAATTCATTCAAGGAAAGATGCGCTTGTTCAAGCTGCTTCCTTCATGGGAGATTCATAATTGTAGTCATTAATTCGTCTAAATCATCCCTGTAATAATGAAATTTAATTATGAAGACAATTAAGTTGAAAGTGAATTGAAAAAGGTAGGTACCTTTTCAAAACATCGAATTCCTCCAACAGTGTTCTGACTCTCGTCGCCTCCGCTCTCGAGCCCCTATATAATAATATATTAGAGGCTTCTGACGATGATTATCGAAATTTGCAACCCATTCCTCTGCAATATTCTGCATTTTGAAGAGCAGGCTCTCTAGAGTAATGATGGGATAATTCATCAGTATTCCTCATTCAAATGATTTTTTCCGCATGCTCTAATTATTTTAAATAACTAATTTTTCCCTAGTTTCTTCAAGGGGGCGAGGGGGTCTCACTGTTATTTTTTGAAATACCAGAAGCAGTTGATGAGAAATTTCGGTGTTTTTTTTCCAATTTCTTCTTTGAATTTGAAAAAAAGTGTGGGCATATAACATCATGCAATTCTCATTTTTTGAGAACATTTATTTTTTATTCAAAAGAAGGAATTGAGAAATTCCGAATTCCATACGATTAATTAAAAACTAATTGTTTTTAAAAAATGGAAATTGCGTGGTATTCCATGCCATCGACATGGGCTTAGCCGACCGATATTAATTTTTCAATTAATGCACTTATTGAATTGATTGCTAATCGTTTGCCGATAATTGAAGTGCATTCAATAACGTTTGATAATAATTTATTGAATTATAAAAAATTAATCAACTTTCCCCCATGTGTTTAGCCAACAAACATAAAAAATGAATATTTCTTCAATTTTTTTTTAAATCGAAGCGAAATCGTTTGTAGTTTTCAAATCAATAGCTATTAATAATTGATAATGCGTTATTTCATCAGTATCAATCATTTACGGTTCAGCGTTTGCTAGCGGCAGAGTGGTCCGGGGGGTGGGGTGGTGCCAACAGTTGATGCCGTGATGTTACATCTTGTTGGGGGGGGGGTAGTAGTACAGATACGGAGTGAAATGGTAATGGCGCCCGACTATATTGGAATGTTATATTTTGAGAATTTTTTTGGAGTAAAGTTATTTTTGGAAGACTATTGGTTAAACAACTTTTTGAATTTATTGAGAAATTTAGAGTTGTGAAATAGTGCAGTGTCATAACGCTTAACATTTGGAGTATTTTGGAGTAGTGACTGATTGTGACAATGAGGACAGATCGATGTATGCCGTTTTTTCTGTAAGAACATTAAAAGGGATAATCCAACGGTAATTTTGCGAGATTTCTTTGCACATGACTTTCATTGGTGTCGGGAGTGTCTACAGGGGCAGCCAGGGACGAGAAATTATTGGCCATTCCCTCTGCATGGCCATTTTTGTAGCTGAAGACATTTCCAATAAAAAAATGTCCTATGAATTTCCAATTCTCTAAATTAAGATGCTGGACCCCAGTAAAATCTTCGTCTTCGAGTTCGGGGCTGAGTTCTATATTTGGAATGGGAAGTGAGCACCTGAGGAATGCAAAAGGCATTTCTGAAACTGGCTGAGGAACTCTGGAGGGAAGGGTATGATTATTCTCATTGTGCAATTTCTCCTGTCAATGCAGCTCAGATCATCGGGGGCGGGTAGAAGCCTCAGGATGTCGAGACAAGAGAGTCTGAGAGGCCTGGGTGGTGCCTCTCTACCAAGCTCACACACCATACTCTTTAGGGAGAAGTTCCTGAACTGGCCTAATGCGTATGGAGTTATCAAGTGCGAGCAGCTGGTGGAAAAGGATCGGGATAAGGTGAGAGGGTTTCGGTTTTTAGGGTTTATCTCGTGAGGGAGGGAAGCTACGGGGGGGGGGGGCAAAGGGCCTTTTTTGTAGCTGAGGAAATTGGCAACCGATAATATTTTATGAATTGTTGTCCTAAAGCTACCCCCTGTTGAGATAATTCGATGTTTAATAATGATTGTTTCGTTGACTTCAACAATAGTCCTGTTTTCTCCAATTTCGTTAATTATTGATTATCTCAACAAGCAATGATTTTAGGAGGAAAATTCATACGACCTTGTTTGGTGAGGAACTAAGTTTAGGGTGGATTGGGAGGTTAGAGGATCATCCGTGTGAAATAACTGTTGAGAGTCTTGACCTAATATGAACGTTAATTTATTCTCGCGTTCAAACCACGCTTTGTCAAATTTACAAAACACCTTGTCACTAGTTGATCGTACTGAATTAGTTCCAATTGTTTATAGTTTTTACACTGTTGAGTCACTGGTTAAATGGCCAAGCAATAACGTGATTTTCTTTGTATTGAATTTTTATCGCCGAGCTAATAGACGTTAATGTACTGAATATGTCTACACTCTGCGCGTTACTCAAATACGGAGTTGAAATCTAATCAAAACGGACTACTTGGCCGATCATTTTATACTGACTCGCGTTGATTTACGGTGACTCTACTAGACCTGAGCGTTGACGCGGAGAAGACCGATGATTTTTGTAATTGGCCGAGCTTGTCGACCTTGGTCTTGGAGAGGTTGGGTTGCGTTTTAAACACCCCGGGGGCATTCAACATCAGGGTTGTTGAATTACTGGTTGTCGTTCTGTTGGTCTTCTTCGTCCTCTAGTTGATCTTCTTCTGGAGGCTGTTCTGGTGGTGGTGGGTCTGTTGGCAACAGACAGAGCTTGGCGATTGGTCGATCAAACTCCGAGTGGGTCGTTTTGATGTTCTGGAGGTTTGGTGACCCGTCTGGATGCGTGCCGACTTCTACCTTGGTGATTCTCACTTTGGCTACCCTTGTAAGCCCATCTGCTCCTGGTTTCGTTGCTATGACTCTGGCAATTGGCCACTGCGTTGGTGGAAAGCTGTCTTCCATCATCAGCACCATATTGCCAACCTCTATGTTGTGTTGACGTATCTTCCACTTGTATATTGACTGGTACCGTTGAAGACACTCTTTGGACCACCTGGACCAGAACTGGTGAACTATCTGCGTCACCAGGTTCCATCGTCGAAATTTGCTGGGGTTCTCGTTGACGTATGAAGACTCTGGGGTAACTTGGAGAGGCTCACCTATCAAAAAATGTCCTGATGTGAGCACTTGGAGATCTTCTGGGTCGTCCGACATCGGACAGATTGGCCTGGAGTTTAGACAGGCCTCTATCTGGATCACTATGGTGTTGAGTTCCTCAAACGTTAGTGTTGTCTTTCCCAGGACTCTTTTGAGGTGATATTTTGTTGATTTCACGGCTGCTTCCCATTTGCCACCGAAATGAGGGGCTCTAGGTGGTGAGAAGCTCCATTGTGTCTCATTGGTGGCGAGAGCAGCCTGAATTCGTTGATTTTCTCTGGAAGCTTGGTGATAGAGCCTTTCTAGAACTTCTGCTGCGCTGGTGAACGTGGTGGCATTGTCACTGTACATGACAGCTGGAATGCCCCGTCTTCCGGTGAATCTCTTGTAGGCTCCTAGGAAGGCTTCCGTGGTCTGCCTGTTGACGAGTTCTAGGTGAACTGCTGAAGTTGTGAAGCACACAAAAACTGCAGTGTGCACCTGTCCTGCTTGTGCATTCGTTGGTCTCCACTTCAGGATCTGGAATGGACCTGCATAATCCACCCCTGTGTGGAGAAATGCTCTGGATGGTGATACTCTGGTTGCAGGCAGCTGACCCATCTGTTGTTGAGCCTGCTTCCCTCGGTGTCTGGTGCAGATAGCACAGCGCAGAATGTACGCTCTGACTGTGCCCCTGCCACCGATTATCCAGTACCTTTGTCTGGTGTAGGCCAGCGTGAGTTGAGTCCCTCCGTGGAGGGTTCTGCGATGAGCTTCTTCGATCACCAGTGTGGTGAATCTCGACTGACGTGGCAAGATTATTGGGTGTGTCTCTTCAGGGTGTAGGTCTGAGTTCTTCAGGCGTCCCCCAAGTCTCATGATGTTCAACTCGTCTAGGGTTGGTGTGAGCTTTGCTAATTGGTGACCTCGTGGTAGCTGTTGATTTCTCTGAAGCACACGAAGGGCTGAAACAAAGTACTGATTTTGTGTTATTTTTACCCAGAATAATCTCGCTTCGTTGAGTTCTCTTGTTGACAGGATTGGTCCCGGGGGCGTCGGCAGTCTCCTGAATCTGTCGATTGCCCTGTTGATAGTCGCTGTTACTGCTAGAAGCCGAGCCATCGAGCTGTACCTGGTGAGTAGCTCAGCAAGTTCGTTGACTTTTGGTGCAACTGGATGTGCTCGTGCTGGTTTCGCTTCCTTGGCCACTTCTGGGATGTCCATTGCTGGAGCGTCAATTGTTGATTGTGGCCACTCTTCAGGATCCTGATTAATCCACTCAGGTCCTGACCACCAAAGTTGATGATCTGCTAGCTGACTTGGAGATATGCCTCTGGATGCGCAGTCGGCTGGATTTTCTTTCCCACTGACGTGTCTCCAGATGGCATTCGGGAGAGTTTCCTGGATCTTGACCACTCGGTTGTGGACGAAATCTTTCCACCTTGATGCGTGGCTTCTGATCCAAGCGAGTGTTACTGCTGAATCCGACCAAAGATGAGTTTCTGCATGGTCGAGCTGAAGCATCCTCTGTGTTGAGGCTACTAGTTGTGTTAACAAGAGAGCTGCTGTAAGCTCTAATCTTGGAATAGTCATGCGCTTGATCGGTGCTACCTTTGTCTTCGCGCAGACCATCACTGTTGAAGCTGGCTCGTTGATGTTCCTGGTGCGTATGTACACCACTGCACTCATAGCTACGGTTGAAGCATCTGCGAATCCGTGTAANGTTGAAGCATCTACGAATCTGTGTAATTGAATGTTACTTTCTTTTTATGTTAAATTGAGCCATCTGGGTATAGCAACTTTGTCCAATTCTGTGAGTTCCTGGCGAAATAACTCCCACCGTTGAGTGTACTCCGTGGGGAGGGGGTCATCCCAATTACATTTGAGTTTCCAGAGATCCTGTAGGAGGATTTTCCCTTTTACGACGACTGGAGCGATGAAGCCCAAAGGATCGAAGATCTGAGCTATCTCTGAAGATAAAACCCTTTTGGTGATCGTCTGTGTGTTGAAGTCTCTGGATTTATACTTGAATGTGTCGGACGACTGATGCCAACACATTCCAGGAACTTTGGTGACTGATTCTTCAAACTGGATTACGGCTTCCTCTGTTGATAATCCGAGCTCATGCAATAGCCGTGGGCAATTGCTGCTCCATTTCTGAAGAGCGAAGCCTCCAGCCTGACAGAGTCCTTGTAGTTGCCAGACTATCTCCTTGAGTTCTGCTGACTCAGCTCCGCCGTAGATGTCGTCAACGTACCGACCTCTGGTGATTGTCTCGACGGCTGCTGGGAAGCGGTGACCCTCATCCTCCGCTAATTGTTGAAGAACTCTCAGAGATAGCCATGGAGAACAGTTGAGACCGTAGGTGACTGTGGTTATCTGATAGGAGATTTGTTGCTGTTATCATCAATCCAAAAAATTCTCTAGAGGTCCCAATCGTCCCTGTGAACTCGTATCTGTCTAAACATCTTAACGATGTCGGTGCCAAACACGAGTCTGTGCTTTCTCATCCATGTCAAGACGTCCATGGCGTTGATCTGCAATTTTCCACCAGGTTATAATATATCATTGAGTGACATACCTGATGAACTGGGACTGGAGCCGTTGAAAACGACTCTCAGTTTTGTGGTGATGGCCTCTTCTCTCAGAATCCCGTGGTGTGGCAGATACTAGGCTGGGGTAGGTTCTGGAGAATCGGGTGCTCTCTGCATATGTCCCAAAGCCTCGTACTCGTTGATAAACTCCTTGTAGAGCTGGGCATATTCCTGATTGTTGTTGAGTTTGCTGACTGTTGATTTGAGCTGTCGTGAAGCCTTGAACTTTGACTCCCCGAGCGCTTCTGCTGACGTTTTCAATGGGAGCCTTACAATGTAACGCCCTGTTGAATCTCTGCTGTGTATTGATCTGAAGTGTTTTTCACACTCCAGCTCGTCTTGTGATAGCTCTGAGTTGTCTGAACGTTGGGCTGGTAATTCTTCCTGGACCCAAAACCTTTGTAGAAGCTCTAGTAGTCGTTCATTTGGAGATTCCCATACAGCTGATAAGGAGACCCTCGTTGAGCGACCGGAGCAGTTGATTGGATCTGATAATATCCAACCAAATGCTGTTCGTTGGCCAACTAATCTTGACTGTTTAGACTTGACAACTTCATCTTTAATTATCTGCCCGTAGTTGTCAGCCCCTATTATTATATCTATTGGTCCAGGCTGGAGATACTGTTGATCAGCTAGTTGAAGGTTTTCTAGTGAGCCGATGTCGACTGATTCACAGGAAAATGATGGCAGGATTGCTGTGAGTTTCTTCAAGACGTGGGCGTTGAGTTTTACTTGCTGGGACCCGTTGATTGCCTGTAGCATCACTGACACCCTTCCTCTTGTGTGGCCTGAATTGACTCCGCCAATTCCTATTAATTCCAACGTTTCTGTTGTTCTTGTGAGGTGCAGTTGATGTACTAATTTCTCAGAGATAAATGACACCTCTGATCCTTGATCAATTAGTACTCTGGCTCTGCTGATGAATCCTTTTGGGGATTTTACTTTGACTTGCGCTGTTGCTAACAGCACTGATTGTTGATCTGCTTCTTGTTGAGTTGTTTCTGCATTCTCACTGGTCCGCTGGTTGTTGAGGTTGACTGTTGCCGTTGATGTACTGGGTTGAGCTGTTGAGAATGACCAATGAGGAGGTTATTTTGTTGATTATGCTATAATTCGTTCACTCACTCGTGATCTTATCTGTACTCTGCCCTGGCTCGACTCTTGCTGATGCAGGGACATCTGTTGATTCCAAGTCACGTCGAGTTCGTGGTGGAGCGTTGGTATACTCGCTTCCTCCATGAATTAAAGTGTGGTGGTTGCCCTGACATTGTTGACATCTTTTCGTTGAGAAACACTTCGTCTTTCGGTGAGGTCCCAGACAGCTGAAGCAGAGGCCATTGCTTATGACCACGCTGTTCCTCTTTACTGGGGGCAACTCTCTGAATTTCTGGCACTCAGCAATGAAGTGTTTTTCCTTACACATGGCACAACAGTTTCTCGGAAGAAGCCTCTCAGCGTTGCTGTCTTGTTGAGTAGCTGCTGCGTAAGAGCTCTTCTTCTTCTTCAGTGATTTCCTGTCGGCGATGTTGGTTTCCTGTGTTGCATGAAGCTCTGATCCTGCGTTGATTCCTCTGCCGCAGGCTTCGACGAATCCGACGAATTCCTTCAGACTGGGAAAGTCTCTGGAGTCTCCCAGTTTCAATTCCCACTGCTTGAGGGTTTCTGCATCTAATGATCTCCTCAGCAGGTGGGCGATCATCTGTTCAATCAAGTTCGCATCTGAGAGACCGACTACCTCTCGTAGCTGGTCTAGCGACTCGACTGCTGCTGCTGTGTTGTGGTTGAGTTTCTCCTGAGTTGCCTTGGTGATCTTTGGCAGCTCCAGTATTCGATTGAACAGGTACTGAGCCACCAATCTTGGATCATCGTATTTCGCCTTGAGCTTTTGCCAAGCCTTTTCATAATTCTGGTCGTTGATGTCCAATGTCGATATGAGAGTAGCTGGAGGTCCTCTGAGGCTGCTTTTGAGTCTAATCAACTTCTCCACTGGTGCGATTGTTGATTTGCTACCGACCAGCGAGCTGAAGAGATCTCTGAATTCCTTCCACTGGGATGGGGTGCCGTCGAAAGCCTTCAAATCCAGACGTCTGAGCTTGTCTGGGTGTTCTTGGCCTGGTGAATTGCTTGCTGGTTGAGTTTTCTTCGACAGCCGACCTTTCAGCTTACTGATGAGCTTTATACTTTGCTCCTTTGTGGCAGCTGTCTGTTCGAAGATTCCTTCAGTCAAGTAGGGATGATCGTGAGGGAGATATTCGATTATGCCTCCCTGCTGTGAGAGAAACTCTGCCCAGTAGGTCTCAAGGATTTCTTTCTGTCCATCCAGCTCTTCCACGGTGATGTCCTCGTCATTCATGATCGTGGTGGTGAGCTCCTTATAAATGTGGGTGATGCTCTCCACTCTGAACTTTAGCTGCCTCAGTAGAATCTCTTGATGCACAGTGAGACCTGCCGCGGGTAGCCCTATCATCTCCGAGTATCTCGTCTTGATGTGCTGAATTCGTTGAGTACTCTGGATGTTGGCTTCGTCTTCAGTCTCGCTGATTACAACTTTCGGAATTGTTGATGGTGGAGGTTCTGTCTTCGTTGGTTGTGCTGCTGCGCCTCTAGTATCTTGTTGATTATCTACGGCTTGTTTTTCAATTACGGTATCTGGATCAGACATGATGATGTAATTGAAATGTTACTTGCCTGAGAATTCCTTGTTGAGTGGCTTCGGATGTCGGTGATGTATCGACTGTCGATGCGTTACCAACCGTTGACGTACTGTCGATGCGTTACCGACCGTAGATGTTTGCGTTGTGTCGGTAAGGTGTCGCTTGGGAGGCCGCCTGTTGCTGAGCGCACTGGCCCAGTGTTGAGGTCCTTCGGCAATACTCGTATATCCCGAACTCTCGCGAACCTTGTCAATACTTTGAGACGCCGATGTTTACACTTCGGATTACCGCCAAGAGAAAACAATAGCACAACTACTCTTTGTCCGTTGAGATTCTGTCCGTTGACCGACTCGTGTAGACCCCGAAAGTTCGTTACACGAGGCGTCTTTTTAAATTCACCCGAATCCGATCACACTAATTACTCCCAAATCCGGCTCGAAGGACCAATGTTTGGTGAGGAACTAAGTTTAGGGTGGNCCAATGTTTGTTGAGGAACTAAGTTTAGGGTGGTTTGGGAGGTTAGAGGATCGTCCGTGTGAAATAACTGTTGACAGTCTTGACCTAATATGAACGTTAATTTATTCTCGCGTTCAAACCACGCTTTGTCAAATTTACAAAACACCTTGTCACTAGTTGATCGTACTGAATTAGTTTTAATTGTTTATAGTTTTTACACTGTTGAGTCACTGGTTAAATGGCCAATAAATAACGTGATTTTCTTTTTATTGAATTTTTCTCGCCGAGCTAATAGACGTTAATGTACTGAATATGTCTACACTCTGCGCGTTACTCAAATACGGAGTTGAAATCTAATCAAAACGGACTACTTGGCCGATCGTTTTATACTGACTCGCGTTGATTTACGGTGACTCTACTAGACTTGAGCGTTGACCCGGAAAAGACCGATGATTTTCGTAATTGGCCGAGCTTGTCGACCTTGGTCTTGGAGAGGTTGGGTGGCGTTTCAAACAGACCTTTTTTGTAGCTGAGTAAATTGCCAACAAAAAAAGTTTTATGAATTTTCCTGCTGCAACCGCTCCCTACCAAGATAATCCCATCTTTGAATTCTATAATTTATTGAGTTACGTCTTCAGTTCGATGGAAAGATCGTCATCGATCCTCCAGACGTCTCCAAGATGCCGAACAAACAAAATCCCCCAGTGGATATCTTCCTCAACGGCAGCCACCTTGGGCGAGGTATTGGCTGGTTCGAAGAAGAGTTCAGCAGAGAGTCCCTGGTGACAACGACTGACGTAACTGTCTGGCACATCAACGAGCACTCGTACTCCAAAATGGAAGAGAATTCTTCAGGCCACTTCCCTAGTGGCTACATCATCCGCTGGATGAACCACACCACGGTGACGGAGAGAGAACTCTCTGGACTACCCTCGAAACAGGCAGTCGCGGGGAGGGACAGGTGTGCCTATTTCATCTGGCAGGGAAAGAATACATCCTTGAATAAATAGGGAACTGCTGCACTTTTAATGATTGAGCTTACTACGGAAGAGGGATCACGGCTCAGGGTCGTCGAAGGGTTCGAACCCCTAGCGTTCCTCAATCTCTGCAAGGAGGGGGTGGTACTCGACACTTGCTCGAACCCAAGATATCCAGAGTAGCAAACCCCGAGAAAGTCAAGGAGATGGCCGAAGTCCTATGGAAAACCCGAAACCGCAGGAAAAATCTGACAAATTGAGTGGAAAAAAATGGATTGGATCTGCTATACCGAGACTCCTTCAAACGATTTCCACGATCAGAGAACGCATATTAAGAATATTCTGAAGAACCTGGAGAAGTGAAACTTGAGAATATCGTGGCTGGATCTCCAGTCGATGAATAAACTATTTTCACCGGGATCTAGTGATTTGCCACAGTGGCTGGAGATTGCTGCGAAGGCTACCATCGATGTCTTTCACTTCAATAACCCGACCAGCAATAAGAGGGATAAGAGGTTTGGCTCGATCTGGCTGACGGCACCGTTGATATCCAAGCTGCTGTATGCTGTCCATGGGAGAGTTTTAAAGGTTTGTAATATTTTCATTGTTATTTCTGATCTAGAAAAGATATTATTTCCCAATAATTGAAGTCAATTGATGAATTATAATAATTTTGTCACTGGACGCTCTCTAGAGTGGGCAACCGGACGAAAGTCGGTGGCAAGTGTCGTTCCAAGTCCTTCCTTTTCAAACACCAGCCGCTCCTTTCTCAGGTCCTTCAATGGAATTTAACTCTTTTATGGAATTCTTGGTTAGTGGATTTTATCCACTAGGAGTATAAAACAAACCCCACCAATGCAAGGGACAGATTCGCGGAGCCTATTGAATCATTGAATGAGCAATTTCCAGGAGTATCAACCAGTTTATTGAACAGAATCTATTATGAAGGCTGAGACAATCACAATGAAAATCTACTGAATATACTGTTTAAGTAATAGTGCAATCACGTTATTTTTATTTCTAATATTTTTATTTCATACTGGTTTAGGTCACCAGGAGATCGTCTATTCTTATTCAGCCTTTGATATTCCACTCGAATTTTGGATGAGATTGATGAAGGATACTCCATCAGTACTCCAGATTTAACACTGTGAAAATTGTGGCGAGATGATGCAGTCAGTTATGTCTCTGATACCAGATCGACGAATCATCATACAAAAAGGTTTCAGAGCTGTAAATTATAGCATGACGTTCAATGACGTGGTTGAATTAATTTTTCAGCACATTTTAAACAACTGAAGATTTTGATCATTCCAATGGAGGCATATGACTATGTATATTTCATTCTAGTTGATTATGTGTCAGATAATTATTTTTTGTTACAGATACACTTTTTAATTAACTGCATAGTGCAAAAGAGGAGGGTCGACACAATGTTATGCCTGCTAATCCAGTTTTCATCCCGAATATTTCGTCTCGTTTTCTCATGTGAATAGTTTTATAATTAATTTTTTTTTATTCGCATCTGGTGTATATTTCTAAGAGTTTGTCATTATATGGTGCATGTATATCATTCAGTGTTTCCCAAATAATTTCTAATTCATAAATAATGTCGACTGAGTAGAGTTATATACTTATGATTTCTGTATTCATAAATAACCTATAATTTATTAATTTTTCTCAATTTTTCGCCACTTTTACCACTCACTGTAGACTCCATAATTTTTTACTTCCAAATATCACAAAAAAAATACAAAAAAATATTTTTTAGACCAATCAGAGTTTCCCACCATCACTATGTTTATCCATATACGGATTAACCTTGATACCATGAACAATTGATTGGGATCGACACAGTGATTGAAGACATGGGTCGTCTGGAAAAATAGAAAAAATTCAGAAAAACCTTCGATTTTAACAGAATTTATGTGATATCCCTAAGAGTAATGTAAATAAATTATCCGCTTGGTAACATATGTGAAAAAAATGGTAATGATTTTATGTTTGTAGCAGGATTCATCATAATGCCTCCACGAAATCGTCTTGGTAGAGACGAGGCTATAAAACTTCTCGTGGCGTCCAGATCTTTCTTTCAAGAAACATTCCCAGATTACAGTAATGAAATTTTGAAAATATTATCGATTGAGAGTGATGGCAAGTAGTCACCACATAATTTTTACATCAGTGTGAAGCAGCACAGACGAGCAATCCGGACAGAAGCATGGGAACAAATGGGACTAAATGCATCATCGATACCTACAGCATCTGAGGAAAACGATGACAGCCTTCCTTTTGAAAGTGAAGAGGATGACGATGTAGGAGACAATTCTGAGGATGATGGAAGATCTTGGTTCGATTTAATCTTGACTGAGTAGGAGTGGGATGAGATTAAACCTTTGGAGAATGACGGCAAACAATCCACTCATACATTGAAACCACATGTATCGTGTAATGTCATTGGCTAATGGCTTTGTCTTCAAAAGAGCTGAAGTTAATATGTCAGAGCATAGGAAACATTTTCTAAAAATTCAGGATCAGTGTAGGAGTAAAAAATGTGGGAATAAATTTTATGGAATAGCTGATTGTGAACCACCTCCTGATAGTGAATTAACTATAAAAGTAAGAACTAGAGACACTACGTTCGAAAATCATGAGCCTGTGAAACGTCCCTTGAATGGTGTAAAAAGAAAACGTATTGGAAAAGAAGCAATTGGTGAAGGTTGTTATAATTTGCAGAAGAGATTGAGACGTGAAAATTTAAAACCCGGTGAAACAGATGGACCAACAATAGTATCGCTTGATTCTTTACGTCATGCAAAAAAACAAGCCGTTACAGAAGATCTTGGTGGAAAACGATTGGCTGGAGAAGACCTTGTTCAGACCATTTACCGTTTAAAATATCAGAAGCCTTATGCAGGATCGATACATGATGTTGGATACAGTCCATTCTATGTCATCTATGGGACGATAGAACAGCGTGCTGTGTATAAACAATACCGTCAACAACATCGAAATTGTTCTTCTTTCTGCATTGATTCCACCGGTTGCATTGTTAAGAAAAATATCACACCCAGTGGATTGAAAACTGCTCACATCTTTCTCTACAGTCTAGTTGCTCATTTTAATAAAAGTTCAGTATCGATATACCAGATGTTATCGGCAACACAGGAAGCAAGAAACATTACTTATTTCTTGAAAACGTGGTTACGTACAGTGAATAATTTGAAGCCCAAGAAAATCGTGATGGACGGTTCACGAGCATTATTACTGGCATGTTCGTTAGCATTCAATGATATCACTATTAAACATTACAATGCAATTTGCATCAGTGCTGCTAGAAGAAATGACCCAGTTCCGCAGGGGTTGATATCGACATTCATCAGACTGGACGTGGCACACTACCTCCACACTGTAGTTCGATCAAGACCTCTACAGGCTCATCCCATACCTGCAGTGCGAGATTTTTTTATCCGCTGCATCAGTCTTATGATTGATTGTCAATCCTTCCTCGATTTTTTATATATTTTCATGTTAACTTGTGTTATCGCCTATCAGCAGCATGATGAGTCTCCACT